CTGTTTTTTCAGCATCCAGGGCTTCATTCTGATAATTTTGCCTGTGGATTTCAGAGCTTTTCAGTATAGAGAAATTGATGGAAGCATTGTGGTTATCAAGAGCTGGGAGCTCCACTGGGGGCTCCTGGGAAGAGCTATCTGCCTTAAATGGCGTATCCTTACAGCATACAACTTCAGTCACAGGCTTAGACTTACTCACAGAGGAGTTCATTTCATGAGGGACTTCCTGGTCATCCAAAATATTCTGAAACTCCTGAGCAATATGCCTGAAATAACTTTTTTCTCGTCTGGTGTCAGTAATATCAGAACTAAAACTCTGTTTGTGCTTTACATGCTTATCAGGAAAATTACTTATGTGGCATGTTTTATTTGCCACTTCTGAGGAATCTACTTTCTTTAACCTGTTAGCATCATCATCAGCCTGTTCTTTAGCTTGTGGTGTATTTAGAGTTACACCATTCTGAGTAACTAAAGCTACTTGCATTTGCTGAGTTGCAGTTATTTTCTTTCCAGCCTCTGCAAGCAATGAATCTTTATTTTTTAATTCTTCAGTTTTAGAAACTGAGAACCGGGTAAGATTTTCCTTTGGTATTACATAAGCTTTCCGGCTGGCCTTTGCCAATGTATGCTTCCATCTGACTGATGAAAAATGGCTGCTCTTTTGGTCTACTTTCTGACTAACTTTAGGAGGGCTGTCATTTTCAGTTTCTCTACCTTGTCTGTAACTACTTTTTTTGTTGTTTTTTCTCTGTATAATACTCTTCTGATCTTGTTTTCTCTTGCTCCTGTCACACTGGTTTATCTCTGTTTGAGATTTTTTTGAAATATAGTCTCCATTCTGGCCATTTTCCTCTCTACAGGATTTTTCTGTGTTTGCTTTGGAAAGATTTTGTGAAGTTTTCCTCTTTATTGTTGGTTTGTTATCTTTCTCATTTGTATTCAGAAAGCCTTCCTGTAAAGGCAATACATCAGAAATGTTATCTTGGAATGCCAAATTTTCAGCACAATAAAGTTCTGGTGGGATCTTGTTAACAGATGAGCAGGAGTCGGTTTTTTGTATTCTGCTTTCCACTTCTCCAGGCATTTCTGACAAAGTTCCTTTATTTGTCTCTTGTTTTCTTGGATTAATTACATTAACCTGGTATGTCCTCCTTGTTCTATTCTGTTGCTCTACAGGATTTCCTGTAGGTAGCTGTTCTGTCTGACTTTGGAATAGCTGAGTTTGTGAATCAGTAGTTTCTGAAGTTTCATTATTGTCAGCCCTAGAGTGCCTTTCTTCTGCATGCAAATTTGAATGGACTTCAGTCTTGCTTTTAATTTTTTCTTTATCCTTCTTAGAATATTTTACTTTTCTGAAATTTGGTAATATTTTGTCAGACTTGGCATTATTAATTTTATTTTGGTGCAATTTATAATTGCTTTTTGCTGTAACTGTGAGTAGTTCACTTGCATCACTGGCAGTCAACTCCATATCAGCATCATAGACAGTCTCTTCAGGCTTCATCACTTTAGTAAAAAGCAGCTTGTCAAAATCTTTCTCACTTTCACCATTAAATTCAAGAGGTGAAAGTATTAGGCAAGACAAGTCCCTTAAACCTTCCTGCAAATTCTTATCATTGGTGTTGCTGCTCCTGTTGATATCATGATGAGGCAGATTCAATGACCTACATTTTTTATCAAAATACTTTATATTAGGTTGAGTTTTTGACTTACAAAGTACTGCATTTTTCTTTCTTTCAGTCACATTTTCATAGGATGGCAATAAACTACCATGATATTTTTCTGTAGGCTCCTCAGACTGTTCTAAGGATTGTGTATTTTTTCCATGAGTCAGAAAGGCACTATTGCAACCTAATTCTGCACCCAGCTGATTATCTGCAAAGAGAAAAAATTCAGCAGCTGGTGAAAAGAAAAGAGTGTCGTTATCTGCTTAAAACTATTGAAGGCTGAACCATAAGTATGGAAAAATTACACTTTTATAAAAAAGGAATACACACATTCTATTGTTGGTCCTTAAAAATTTAGGAAATTGAAGCTAATATAACAATTTACTGAAGTTGGACTCTAGAAATTGGACATAAACAAAACTATTTTCCTATAACAACTTCAGCTATTTTTTGGTTATCTTAGCTATGTAATTTCAATGAACATTATTCTATAAATTATTGTCAGGACACGTATATTTATGGATGAGCATTTATTTTTCACTAGTTTATTACAATTTAAGAATCTTATTATACCCTCTGTATTGCACATTGAGTAATGAATTATTAAATACTAATTCTCAGAGAGCTTGAAAAATAAATCTCTTACACAGAAATACATCATACCTTTCAAAAATCTATTCTTGTCAACCATTGGTTCTATTTCAATTAACTTTTGATTATTTGTACCAGAAGGCAAGAGTGATGCAAACTTGACTTGATCTGAATGTACTTCCTCTGTCGCATTAGTGGTACACTTGCAAGAATTTGATGCTTTGCCCAGAGAAGGGCTACCCTGCTGCTCTGCATTTGCTGTTGCAGTGAAAGGAAGATTTGCTGGCAATTCTACAGATCTGAAAAGAGAAAATTTTGCTTTGAAGCTTTTTACTACATTTTGTATCATGATATTCAAGTGTTCAAGATGTTCCCTTAATAATGTATAATAGCTGAAAACAAGAAGTCAAGTATGATAGGGGGTTCTGTCTTGGGGCAAATGTATTTTTGATGATAGCAGATCCTATCTGGGGCTGGTGAGATCACATGATACAAGCAGCAAGTTACTCAAACACAAGTTGGTCTACTGCTCTCTCTCTAAATTCTGAGTTGCAAACAAGTAATTTCTGGATTAAACATGAAATGATTTCTCACTACCTCAAAACTACCTAGGACAATGTACAAAGATTAGCTGAAAGAGAAAGCCACAGACACCAACCACCTCTGGCATTTCACACAACCACCTACCGAGCTGACCGACGTGCACCCCTGAACTTGTCAGCAGTAGGGCTGCTTGGGCCAGCTGACAGGGGAAAGGAACTCTGGAGATCCTTTCAAAAGAAGAACAGCAGGGAAATACAAATAGTTAAATATTCTCTTATGTTTTAAGTATTGGAAATATCCACAGGGGAAAAACCCCACAAAATGAATGGGAAAAAAATACATGTGCTGATGGAAGACACATGATATTCAAACACAAGCATTAAAGTTAAACCAAAATATTTTGTTACAAAATTCACCATAACCTACTTTTATCCCAAAGGAATGTACAGACTTTCTAAATGTAGCTATAACTCATACAAACTACATTATGCATATAGAAGCACAGAGCAACACTAAGCAAGTTGAGAACAGACAACACAGTATTTTCCTTTTTTAAAATTCACTGTATTTTTTCCATGACACAAGGACAAACATGGACTATGTTTTCTGGTTAAGTTTCCAGATGTAAGATATTTATTGCAGCACTAAGCAAGGAAGGCAGGTAACTTGCTTACTACATACTCTAGTGCTAAGCTTTTTTTTAACCACATGGTTCTTCTTTCAGGCTAACTGATATTTAACTTTTAGATACTCTGGAAACCAGATTAAATCCTAAATTTTCGGTACAGTAAAATTAAATCTATTTTAATATACTGGTTTAATCCCAAGTTTTAAGGAGTTGGGGTAAATGTTTTACAACACAAATAGTATTTCAATATTGTACTCAATTTGATGCTTTGAAAATCTTAGCATGGAAAATGAGTTCAATACAGTAAAGTTGAAAACACATCTTACCTCAGAAGGACTGCTTAGTTCTATTGCAGTTAAAAGGTTTCCATTCAAAAATGCATCTATTCCAATAAGAGTTTTATTCTGCATATAACAGAAAAAAATATTTTAAGAGGTAAGAAGAGACAAGATATAAAAGGTGAGTCTATGCTGCATTGTTTTTTTACTTAATTGAGCACAAACTCATTTCAATACCTACAAATATAAAGGTGAACCTGGGACTAAAATAGCTATAGATATATACACTGATAGACAAAATAGTTAAAGAAAAGCTAAAAAAGAAAAAGATTATGCTGTCGGATTATATAACTTTACAAATCTGAGGCATGTATTTTAAGCCACCACTTTAAGAAGTAATATTAAGTTAAAAAAATATAAAAGCTTAGTTTAGCTGTTCTAAGTATAAATAATATTATTTGCAGCATACCAAACAGCTTAGTTTTTGACGAAGTGAGATATTATGAAGCTGCAGTTTTTCGACTTCCTTCTGAAGAAAAATCTTCTCATTCTTTAGCTTGCGAGAATTTTCTTTTTCAACACTCAAAGCCACAGCTAATGCTTTGTTATTTTGTTGTAAAGATACTTTAAACATAGATGAGTTATCTAAAGGAGACAAAATAACGTTATTTTCAACAGCTTCAATTCTAGGCCCTCTCAGTGTGAACTATCACTATATGACAACATTTTTATCTGTAGGTTCTGGTGCAACAACAGCAAAGCCTAATACTTTCCAATATAAAACAGTTTATGTAGCTGTCATTCTGATGACTACTCTGTTTCAAGTTTATATCATGCATAGATTCTGCCCTAGTCTGGATTTTTGAACATAAGATTATTTTAAGAAGAAAATATTTAAAAATTGATAGTTTCCCAGGCATAAAAATATTCACAAATATTTTTTAAAATATAAATTTTACAAATTAAAACATTGAAACATTCTCATAATAAAATTGAGTTTTGACAACATAAAGAAAAAATCCTTTCTATTAAAAATAAATATTGCCACTGTCTTTATGAAAACCTACCTATACTTATCTGTTACAGAATGGTTGTAACAGGCAGAATTTCAGCTAATCATGTTAAATACAATTCCTTTTAAAGCCATATATACATTCTAAGTACAGGATATGGCTTCAGTTTTATTTTAACAGGACTTACTTATTAATTTAGTTTTGATTTTAGAAGCTAAAGAAGCATTCCATTTTGCAGTTTGTAATGCTCCATCTCTCTTCTTCATCCATCCTTTGGCAGCATTTGAGTTGAACATAGCAGATGATGATTTAGCAGCTGCGCCTTTATCCATCCTCAGAATGAATCTGTACACCGTCAAGGGGAACATCCAAACAAATAAATCATCTTTTTGACAATTTTCAAATTGAGTTTACGAGGATTTCTGTGTCTGAAGTTGAAAGAATTATTTTAGTTTTTATCTTTGCTCAGTTAATTAAAAAATTAATGAATTAATCAACACAATGAGACATTAACACAGAGACGCACAACACTTGATTACCAAACCACTAAACCTCCAACCATCAGATACTTCAGCTTGCCCATTCCCTCACATTAACTACACGAGATGGGAAAAAAACCCCCAGCTTCCACTTCACCCATACCACCAGACCGCCTTGTGCTTTGCCAGGGCTTAAAATCGACGCATTTAAATGAAATGCATTACAAACGGTGCGAAATTAAGAGGAAGGAGAGAGAAGCAGAGACCGAGCGCGCCCCGCCCGCCCCCGCAGCCCTCAGGGCCCTCAGGGCCAACGGCCGCGGGCGCGGCCGTTGGCCCTGAGGGCCCTGAGGGCTGCGGGGGCGGGCGGGATTCCCGGCGCGGGGATCACACAGAATTGTGCCACGCTAAAACACCTCAGCTCTACCCTCCCAACTCAGTCCTGCACCAACCATTAACAGCATGCAATTAAAACTTTTAAGAAATGGGCGTTAAAGATGCGAACGCTTAGCGTCGATCTCGGTGCGCCGTGAGGGGAGGGGAAGACTCCAGGTGGTCCGCTTAGCTGTGGAGATTTTTCGGGAGAGTTCAAAGGTTTTCTGTAGGTTTAAGGGAGAAAAGCACATAATTCCTTCTCAGCGGCAAGTTAGGTTTCTTTATGGCTGATTTTGAGCTGTACATGGAATAACGATGTATAGACAGGAATCGGGGCAGTTAGGAAAACAAGTGTGGTAAATTTACAGCCCAGTAGATTATATGCTGCCTGCATGCCTACAGACTTGGAAGGGCAGGAAGTTTCTGACAACACAATTTGAGCAAGCCCGGTTTTAATGTGATTCAGGTAATATTAGGATTGTGAATTGCATGGAAGTACTTTAGTCTAATTAAATGCTTTCCCCCAAAATCTCTTTTAAGTCCAAAAGCCCTTTAACAGTCTCTTCACATACATTCTCTTTTACTGGCTACATGTGCTGAGTTCTACCATTAGCTCAGATGGACATTAATTTCTTAATTTGATCCCACGAATTGGTAATTTTAGAGTAAGCTGAATTAATGGGGTTTTTTTTAAGATTTACAGAGATGCAGAAGGTTGAAATAAAAAGCATCGGTTTCTGTACTTCGGTAATCATCACAAAAACCTTACTTTGCTGTGTGCCAACATTACAATATTCTATAAAGTAAGTCAAAGGAATCACACATGAAATATAAGTAGCATTATGTGAAAATGTATCTTCATGAACTTACTATTTTCATAATCTGCTCTAAATAGCATCTGGAGAGTCCCTCACTTCTACCTGTTCTAGTGAATGATGTATGACAGGGTTTCTCGGTGTGGCCCTGAAGGTGCAAAACCTTTAAAATACAGCTTTGATCCAGCACACATCATATACCTTCAGTACGTTTTCCCTTACAAGGAAATTTGGAAGTGACTGTAGCCACTATAAAACTCTGGCCAAATAAAAGAGCAAATAACCTTACATACCTTTAAAACCAGAAAACCAGTCAAATAAAACTTACCTCCTCCTCCTTTCCACAAGGCAGTGTTTTCCTCCAGATCGAGCAATGAGTTTTCATTTCCTCAAATTCCACAATGGCTGCAAGTCTAGGAGAGGCAATCACCAATTTGCTTCCATTTAGTGTTTATGTCACTACTGTGGGCAATAAATTTAAAATAAAATGTGAAGTATTGCATTTCCACCCATGGTCATACTTTCCTTTACACTTCACTGAGGAACTTCCACACTGGAACACTTCACATGTACAAATCTCCAGCTAATTGCCAGCTACTCAAAGTAGGGAAGAACTTAAAGCAGTGCCAAGTTTCACAGCCTATATATCTTAAATGTATATTAAAAGCAGAATTACGAGTTTCAGTCACTTGGCATCCCATGACTGGTCTTTAAACTGAATAGAAATGAAAGGTAGTGACGGAAGACTCTTGTGAAAGCTCTAATCATGTGGGAACTGAACTTGTACCTAACTAGATACATACATATTCTTGCCTGAGAAGAATGAATCCTGTAGTGCCTAATACAGTGTGAGATATGACAAAAGCACTTCTGGTGGGTAGATTATGCAGAACAGCTTCTCTCTTTCTGGATTTTTTTAGGGCCAACAAGATTTGAGCTCATAATACAGCTTTTGCTGAAATTATAGTATTAAGAACCTATCTTTCTCTAATCACACCACTTCTTGCACAAGCTTAATGAAAAAAAATCCCTTTCTTAATGCCTCAAATTTGACTGAAATTAGTGAAGTGAAACACAAATATACAGAGGATGAGTATGTAAGCCTGGCTTCATTGGGAAACTAGTAAACACCAAAACAAAAACATCCTTGTGTTCATTTCCCAAAACATGCAGCTCAAAAGGCACTTTTGCTGGTTATGCTGCACACTTCTATGCCAAGTAAATGCTGTACTAATCCTGAATTGTAACGATAATTCACATGGTTAAATCGAAGGTCCAAAACCTATTGCATTGTTTGTTTATATGTGTGTGTGTGTGCGCGTGTATTGACTGAAACTGTGTACAGCATTCTGGTCTCGCAATGTAGAAATACAGGAACATTGTTCAGACTTTTGAGGCAAAACCAAGCCAGCTTAAAGGTGAAAAGAAGCATGGAAAACTGCAGCTTCATTAAGTGAATGCTTTAGAGTGAGAAAGACCAAAAGCTGTACTTACACAGTAAGGTCTGACAACAATGGTCACATTTAAGTTGCAATTGCTATGCATGAGCTATTCCCAGTGAGTAAGGAAAAACATATCCTTACTAAAGACACAGTTAAACTAGATACCATTATTCCACAAAACTCATCTAGTATACTTATTTTCGCTTGTTTTACAGTAAATCCAACATCCATGAATTATCAGCCTGTAACTGGTGTTAATTCATTAGATATTAAGCATCAGAAACCTGGCTTCTGGGCACACTCTTGGTCAAGAACTGTCCAGGGAGCACAGGGAGCCTTGGTGCTTGGCATGCCATTCCTTCTCTTTGCCGCAAGTGGAGCATGATTAGATGCCAAGAAAAATGAAATGTGTTTACTTTATGGCTTTGCTACATGGCCTGAACTGCCATTTGAATGCAAATCTGCATTAAGATAAAAATAAGTGAGTTTTAAGTAGTAAGTGATCACTTAGAGTTACACAATTTCAAAGATAATTTATTATCCCTGTACTAGGATCAGATGATGATTTATATTATTTATTTGGCTCTTTCCTCTAATGTTCTTCATTTGACTGAAGGAAAGTCTAAATTAAAAGTTTGTGGTCCTAAAATTAACGAAAACACAGTAGTCCATGAATATTTAGGTAATCTCAAAAATAAAAATATAGTAACAGACAAGAATAAAGCAAGTGACACAGCTGAAACTGTAGCTGGCTGCTGTGTGTTACATATTGTTTGGTCTTTTGCAAGTGAGCCTGTAGCTGAAGTTTTAAATACCTTAAACTGGTGACAAAACACCGCCAAAAGGAAATTAGGAGTAAAAAATTAGGATGATACCAGAGGAAAATCAATAGGAATTGCAAATATAACTGACTAAACTATTTAAATACAATGTAGGCACATTTCTTATATGTCCAATGTACAGTTTAGTAAGTGGACTTTTACTGAACTTCAGGTAGCAATAAAAATACACTGTTAATATTTAATTATCTCAGAGTAAATATGATATATAAAATATTATGTATTTTATATAATATATTGTATATTATACATTCTAAACATATAACGAGCTCACACCTTCCATAAAGTCTGCACAAATCCAGAGTTTGGTGCTGTTTTTTGCACTCCTATGTGCAAGTTGTATGTATCCAAAAGGATTATTTCTTACTGCATGATTGGGCCAAAACCCCAAAGTTTGTAAGCAAATAAAGGATAATTAAATGGAAACTAGACATAATGTTGCAATTTTTTTTTAAGAAAATGCAGCTGCATTTAAAAAAGTATTTTTCATATATATAAACTTTGTGTAATGAGGCTGAGACAAAAGTGTAACAACAACCTATTTTCTTTACCTTTCTATTGTTCATTACATTCATTTTGATGACCACTCAACTCTATGTCAGACAAGGAATTTATCAGGACACTTTCTGAATGTCTTTTTTAAATGACTGTATGAGGGCGAGGCATCTTGCCTGCATTACTGAATCACAGAATCATCAAGGTTGGAAGAGACCTTCAAGATCATCTGCCATCAACCCAGCACCATGTCAGGAGTCAGCTCAAGCTGCTCTCAGATTGAGAGCTGCCCTGCAGAGAAGGACCTGGGGGAAGCTGGTGGAGGGGATGCTGGACATGACCCAGCAATGGGCGCTCCCAGCCCAGAAAGCCAAACAGTCCTGGGCTGCATCCAAAGCCCCGTGGGCAGCAGGGCGAGGCAGGGGATTCTGCCCCTCTGCTCTGAGACCCCACCTGGAACGCTGCATCCAGCTCTGGGGGCCAGCACAGAGGGACAGGGACCTGGTGGAGTGACTCCAGAGGCCACCAAGAGACTGGAGGAATGGAGCACCTCTCTTTTGAGGAAAGGCTGAGAGAATTGGGTTTGTTCAGTCTGGAGAAGAGAAGGCTTTGGGGTGACCTAACTGCAGCCTTCCAGCACCTTAAAGGAACGTACAGGAAGGATGAACAATAGTATTTATACAGAACAGGTTTGTATTAGCTATTAGGAAAAAAAAAAAAATCTTTTCTGTGAGGGTGGTGAGGCACTGGAACAGGTTGCCCAGGGAAGCTGCGGATGCCCTATCCGTGTTCCAGGCGGGGGGTGGTTGGAAGTAGATGATCTTCAAGATCCCTTTCAAGCCAAACCATTCTAACATTCACTATGGAAACAGCTGAAGCAGCAATAGAATCAAACATACTCCGAGTAAACCCGCACTTGTAATTAAAAAAAAAACCAAAACAACAACACATTAAGCACGGTTTGTGCCTTACAGAGCAGCCGACTGCAGGCGGGTCAGCCACACTTGCAGCGCGCCTGAGGGAGCCCCGCGGCAGCGCCGGGGAGCAGCGGCAGCCGAGCCCCGCCGGCCCCTGCACCCGGCTGGCCGCGGCAGGGACTCCGGGAGGGGCGGCGCGGCCGGGGCACGGGCTGCCCCGCTGCTGTCCCCGCCCCGCTGCTGGCCCGGCCCGGCCCGGCCCGGCCCGGCCCGGCCGCTGCCATCGCGCGGAGCAGCGGCGCGCAGGCTCCGCCCCCGCGCTCCGGGCCGAGCAGCGTCCCTGCCATGGGAGGGGCGCGCAGTGCCCGGGAAGTTAAAGCCGCCCCAATCAAGGATCGGCTTTTAAAGAAGCCATTGGTTCAAAAAGAGCTGCATTATTAGTGCTGTGAACTGTGCTTAGGATTTCCTGTGATGACCTTCCAGAGCTTTGGCCATACTTCCTCACCACGTAATTCTGCTTGCACATTTGGCTCAAAAGAGTAAGCTTTGTGTTTCCTACCAAAGTAAAACGCCATCGATTGTTACAGAATATTTGGCTATCTGCATTACTAGGTCGCCAGAACAGTTTTTAAAGTGGTATCCTGTTACAGATGTTCAAGAGCTGAGCTATTGCTTCGGTCTTGTATGTGATATGTTAAATCTGTAGCTGGCATTAGTTTTACTTCTATTTGTATCTGTTTTAGGTTTGAATAGCTCATAATGAACATTACCACTGGCAAATGCAATGGAAGAGGGCGAGGTTGAAGATGTCCAGGATATTCTATGACTGAATGTGTGAGCTGTTTACACAGCCAGTCATGAGGCTCTGTGCTGCTTTAAGAATTCCATGCTGGCTTCCATGTTTAGTGGATGCTTTCCTTTAAAAGTGGATGAATCTGGTAAATATATTGAAGCTCTAAATATCACATTCTGATCATGAAGCTCTTTGGCAAATACATGCTTTTATACATATTTATGCATTTTATAGTATATCTCTTTTCTTATAGTATATATAGTCTGCTGAGCATCAGTTAGCTTCTAATTCCAGGCTGTAAAACAATTCTGCATGCACGACTTTATATGTACAGGTAGTTTATCTGAATTCCACAAGTCTATTTGTGCTTGCAAACACTCACATCTATACAGTGCCACGTCCCTGTCCAAACTGTGGCTTTTGAACGTACTTCTTCAGTAAAAATACAAGAATAGCTAAAATTGAAGTTGGCATTTGTCTTGGGTCCTGTCTGTGCACCTGTATAATCTCCAGAGGCATCTCATTCCCACTGTTCATTAGATAAAAAGATTTGGGTCTAATCTTTGTTTCAGACAGTTAAAAATTGCATTTTTCACCACCATGGCTTGATGTAAAAGTTTGAATAAAACTATTCATGGGTCAAATTTCACACTTGTTTGTGACTTAGAAATCCTGCCAAAGTAGGTCCAGTTAAAAGTGATGATGGATGAAGAATAGTAATTCCTTGTTGCATATATAAAAACTGTTTAAAATACTCAAAATGTTTAACATAAGGAGTTTGGATAACACAGCAGGACTTTGCTACCACCTTTCACAGTTGCAGTGAACAGCCTGAGATTCTTACCATTTAGTTTGTATCAAGCCTACAGTTTGGGTTCTGCTCTATATCAACACTTCTGGAGCAAGCTGTGAAAGTAAAATTATTGGTGTGTATGCCACAAGAGCTGATGGGGCTGATGCAATTAATAAGGCACCAGGAATGAAAATTCATAGTAAAAGCACATACAAAAGGTAAGGTGACTGTCAAACATCAAAGTACTCTGAAGTGAGAATAAAAACATATAATAACTATGCCAAAATATTATCCTATCTAGCATAATGCAGCATTATTGTACTATAAATCTGTGGAAGGCATCTTCGCAGCTCCCAAAGCATCTGGAAAATATAATGGCCACACTTAACAAATAAACAAGATAAAAACTAAGCCTGGAGGTTAAGAATTTGAGAGAGCACACACAAGGTGGTTAGCATAGAGTTGCTGTAAGTTCTTATTCTGCTTGACTTATTATTTTAAAAATACAATTAAAACAACGATTAAAATGACTTTCTGATATTTACACTAAATACAGTGAATAAATCCCCATACAGAAAAACCTCCAGAAATACTTGAAAAGTTGGTTGTGATTCATGCAATACTTTTGTGCAGTCTTCTAAGACAGCTGAGCACTGAGAACCAGAGATGAAATGGTTTTAATTCTTTAAAGAACGTGTACAGCTGTACTACACTGTTAATGTATTTACATGGCAGTAATTGGAAGTTATTGGTAGACCTGTACATACAACTGGAAGCAGTGATCTTTGTCACTCTCACAATGCAGTGTCAGAAGTGTCACTGTGCATCTTTTGATTAAGATAGAGCTCTTGATACTTCACCATCTTTATAATTAGGATGCATATCTTCCTAATTTTAGGATGGGAACATTAATATTTATTCCAAAGGTATTTGGCAACATATCAGGTATCTGTTCTCCTTTTATGTATTCTAGAAAAATAGGTTTTACATAATTAATTCTGTAATTATTCTTCTATGAAAATCTATCCTTTCATGAATATCCAATTTTAGCAATAGGCATTCACAGGAGAATTCAAACCTCTTTTTTGAATAAAAACAAAATCAGAGTAACATTTTCCTTTTGGCTTTGTAAAACATTTACTGCTAAGTCCTTATAGCTAGGATTTGGTAAAAAGAATGATGTATTTCACCAATGGTACATTTTTAATGACTTAGCTAACTAATCACATAACTGTTACCTTTAAAACAATAATCCTAGAGAAGCTGGAAATAACATCCAATACATCTGGAGCTATTACTCAGTAGCTGATCTGAAAAAGATGATGGATGCTTTTGATGCCTGGGAAGGGAGTGGTAGAGTAATAATTTTTTATTTCAGTATTATTACTTTTTAACATACAAATAAGAAAAATATTTGCCAACTAAGCATAATAAAAACCTCTGCATAAACTTCCATAGCATTGTAAAATAGTAGTGGCTCTTTGGAGGGAAGAAAATGTTTTATGGGATGTTCCAGAGAAGGGACAGGAATTGACATGAATGAAGCAGCGTGCTGGCTGTCAGCAATGCTCATGTCAGCAGGTTGAGAGCTGAAATTCTGCATAATAAAATAAATGTATTCATGTGTTTAGTCAGGTGTAAACATGCATGGCTGTGTTCTCTCAGCTCATCAGTACAATGCTGCTATGAAATGCAGGTGTCAGCTACTGGAGAGTGCCTCAGGAGCTGACTGAATGTGAGACTCTGAAAGAACACCCTCTGAGAGGCAGTTTGCATCGTATGCCTCCAGTTTATAAAAAGTATGCTGATTTGCATAGGTGGCGTAAAATTAATTAACAAATACAGTGCCATTTCCCCCCCTCTATAATTTCAGGTTCCTTAAATACCTATCCATGTTGAGATTTCTCTGGTTTAATTTACATTTTTATAAAGCGTCATAGAGCTCTTAATTGCACAACTGAACTCGCTAGAAGCAAATGACCGGTTTTTTTAGGCTGCTGAGATTTCACAGCAGGCTGGCAAGGAGTAACTTGAAAAACTAGAGAGCAGTGTAAGTTAAATGGACTGCTAAACCAGAAATTTAAGTGAAAACTTTAAAAGGTTAAATCACATCTGTGAGATGTGTTCTAGAAGGAATTTCTAAAATTTCCTCTCTGCAGTTTTATGGCAATATTTGTGATTACACCTCCATTCTCCACATGTTAACCTAAAAGCAGCCTTTTGCTGGCACAATCATCTGAGCCAGCCTACAGCCACTTCACTGCTACAGTTTTTAATGTCACCTAAGAGAGGCAGAAGAGATTGATCGTTCTATTCACAGAAAGGCAGCCCTGATTGTAGTCATGAACTGTTGGGAAAACCATAATTTATTATTCTTCCAGTATAATTTAAACCTATTTGTGAAAGGCTGTTGTAGATGGTCTGTTTTGTAATAATGTTATAAAAAGAACAATGTACATATATAGTTCATTTTTAAAATGGAACTTCTTTGTTTTACAGACTATTAATTGACTGTACTGAAGTAGAAGGCTGTTTACCATGTAAAGTGGGTCTCCAGCCAATTAGATTCTCAGGTCCCTCAACAAGTACCCACATAAAAGTCAAGAATTCATCTTCATTAAAGGTAATTGCTTACAATGCTTGACATTCTGCAGCAATTCTTAAACGACCCCATAGTGGAAGTCTGATAGTGCACAAAGAAGCTTCTCAAACCACATCCACAACATGCACATCAGTGCCCAGCAAGTCCCAGGCTCCCTGTGGAAGGCAGAATGCTGGCAATGGGCCACTGAGCCAATTGCCATTCCAAGCTCTGGGGAGTAAGAAGCCTATGAACAACTGTGCAGTGAAGCTAAAAAGGACTCCACTTTTTCTTGTGGCACCACCTCAGCCACCTTCTTCTGCATCCAGTAAAACAAGAGAACAGAACACTGTTGCTGTTGAAATTCCTACAGTGTTAAACAAGAAAGAACCAGCTGTATTTGCAGAAAGTATTACACGTAAGATAGAGTGGATGGGTAATGTTTGACTCAGTCTGATAGACTGGACTGCTCTACATTATATGGTTGAAGAAGAGATCATTATCTCATGTGATCCTTTATTCAAGATTAGGTAGAAAATGGTGATGAAAAAGATAATGAAAAGCACAGGAAGAAACTGTTTTAAGTGAGCACTGAAATGTGTTTTTTGCTTTATCTCTAGAAGTTTTTAGATGTTGGGAAGGGAGGAAGAAAAATGGATTTAAAAAAATCACTCAAGCACATGCAGCTTAACATTCCAGTAACTCTCATTTGTATTTCTGTTGTGCTGTACTGTAAAGTGAGTACTTGGCACAGCATAAGTTGATCTCTTTATCAACTTTAACTACAATGAACCTCAATTTGTACCTTTAAGGAAGGGGAAGAATAGAAAAAAGCAAGTAGCTTTTATTAGACAGAAGTTTGCCACAAGTGTACAACATATGCTTGCTGCAGAGACACGGGAAATTGAATGCACTTACTGGCACTTCTGGTGAGGGTAAATCACCATTTTTGCTCTTACAAGCATTGCAAGGGATCACCTGTGCTTGTACACTGAGAAAATTCAGAAATACAGGAAGGGAAGAAGTGTGCTGTGTGAGTAACAAGGCTGCTCTCTCTGGAGACACACACATTTACAGACACACACAATACTGTGGTGCGGTCTGCCACTGGGGCAAGGCTGGTCCAGCTGTGGCATTTTGTGTCACACCACTAGGGGATGGCTTTTCTGGGGCTGCAGTCTGTGTTACACCTGGCTTCCATGTCCTTCTGCAGGTCCTTTCAGATCAGGAGGGCACAACCTCAATTTGTGTGCAGCAAAGCACAGAAGTTGAGGTCGAAGTGCCATGGTTTAATGAAAAAGTCTCCCTCCTTCCCTCTGGGCAGGCTGGAGGAGACATTCTTGTAGCAGGGCAAATGTTGAATAATGATACTGAAACAAAGAGCTGCTGTATGTTCCTATCAGCAGAGGAAAGGCAAGTTTGGATCGCTGATTTTCAAGAGCCCTTTAGCTGTTTAAATCAGTGAACAAAACCTGGCTTTGTTTTGTACCCTTGCTTAGAGTTGGGTGCCAGGTTTTTTTATGCTGTTTTTGTGACTACTTTTGCTTCTCCAGCACAGCAAATACAGCTGTCTTTGAACACCACGGACATTGCCAAAAAGCAAGTTCTTAAAATTCCTGAGACTATTAGAATTACAGAAGGGTTCTTTAAATGTTTTATTTGCTAGATCATTTAAAGCCATAACATTTTCAGGTTTTTCTCCCACCCATCAGGACTTGAAACATAATTTGCACAAGTAAAAAGCCCCAAATTTTCATGTAGTAACATGTTTTTAATGAGACATTTTGTCATGAACAGTAGTCACTATAAAGGTGTAGAGCACTATAATTTTCTGCTATTGGTTTGTATATGGAAGACCACCTGACCTTTAGATTATTTAAGCTAGTGTTTTTTCTTTAAAAATAAACCTGAAGGTCAACAATCCCATATCTCAACAAAAAAGTTTCACTGAACAAAGGACAAAGCAGAAGTTATGCAAGGATACCAGGATAATGTAGTATAATATTCTTTGAACATGCAATTCATTGAGACTAAGTTTATGAAATTTGTTTTTCATAATAATCTGACTGAAAAACAGTTTTTAATACTTCAGTGTGATTTTTACTTCACTATTTATTCAACGGCTGAGCACTTTACCATGAACCTTAAAATCTTTTTACAAGGCTGTCTAAAGCTGATTTCTTTCAACCTTTGAATTTAGAAAGCTTCTATAATAATGGAATCAGAGAATATAATTTAAGTGAGAAAAGACATACAATAAAAAGCTTTGAGAATATTCCTACAGAACTTTGTGAGTTTGTACTACCTCAGTGTTTACTTAATTATTTTGGTAGCAAAGTATTTTTTGAGTAACATTTGTGTCATTTGCATAACAGCAGCATTAATGAGTCTTCTCTTTGTCGTGGACATACTAGCTTGTGGTTGAAAGAACCAAACACAACCCCCTTGAATTTCAGTAGATGAAATGAGAAAGTAGCTATGGTGAAGAAGGCAAAGAAAGAAGGACTTGCTTTTATTTATTTATTTTCAATTGGATGGGGTGCAAACATGGCCTTTTAACTTATCTAATTAGGCACTTCCAGCATGTTTTTTATATCATAGAATCTTGTTAATTTTTGATTAACTGCTAAGAGTGATATTGAAGCATTTTATGATAGATGGATAGCACTAACCTTCCTGGTGACTGGAACAAGATGCACTGTCAAGTGGTGTCACAATGGTTCACTTCAAATCTTTGTAAAATTATAAATCATTATAGCAGAGATCATTAAAAAAAAAAAAAAAACCAAAACCAAACCAACACATGTTCAGCAAGTTATTCCAATTCCAGAACCAGTGGGTTTTCTTTAAAGGAGACATTTTCAAGCACATTAAGTGTTGGGGTTTTTATATTTTCTTTTTTCCCCACACATGGTTAACTAATGTAAATTTTTCCAAGAGCTTGACTGCATTAAGTAAGCTTCACTTTTTAGTTTTGCAGCTGTGTTTTTGGATCTTTATTTTGCTGGGTTCTGCCCTTATTCTGAATTTAATCTTACATGAAAGATAAATAGATTCAACCTGCTTTAAAATACTGCGCCTTTAAGATGTGCTTCCACTTCTGAAAAAGCACAAAGAGCAGTGGGAATTCCATGTTTATGTTTGAGCGAGGTCAGACAGCTGTTTTTCCTTTGCTAACTAAGGGGACTTTTTATAAAAGAGGACTGACCTGGAAGGGAAGCCCTACCCTGCCATAAATTCCTTCACTGCCCCTCAACAAGTCCCTTAATAGGAGAATTGCAAGTCGTTGTCTCTGTAATGAGAAGATAAAAGCAGAGTTCTGTTGAACGTGGGCCCAAGAGCTTTTGGCTACTTGGTAACTACCATGAACAGTAAAACACTCCTAGAAACTGGCAGATATAAATCCAAGAATACAGACACACATGAAATGAAAGATGAAGATTCTGACAGAGTATCAGAGCACAGCCACATAATGTGGTTAAAATGTACATTGGAATAACCTTCCCAAACAAGTACAGATACTAGACAAAACAGCTAAAACTGCAGCATTCCCACAAACTGCCCTCTCCTCAGACTAACCAAAACAATATACAGCTCTTTAACGAAATAGATGTCTTTACATCATCAGAGAAAAGAGAAATGCAGTCTCTCACCTGTTAGTCCTGGATCTGTCACTGAGCCTCCAGTACATCAAAGCTTGGCTGGTACTGAAGAGCACAAGGAGGTCCTGTTGTGCTGAGTTATGTTACAGATTTTATTTATCTGCAGAAGGTCACTTGTGAGAAAGTGACTTAAGGAATAAAGTAATTTTCAATAATGCAAAAATCAGGTGTAGCAGCTATAAGGAAGGAATAAATGTTATTACAGTTAAGTTTGATTTTCTTTTTTTAGGAAGGATTACAAGAAGAGACACATCTCACAACTTACATATGGATAATATAAGAAGTTATTGTGTAATATCTGCGTGGAATTTATAATTAAATCTCTTAAGAGTGAGGTTACAGTGAAATTGTAAGGCAGCAGATAAATTCTGAAAATCTATCTATCTGATGGATATGCATAACAGAGATTCTGAAATTTCAGTTCCACTACTCCAAAACATTCAGCTTAACAGTGTGATAAAGTAATTAACTAGGATAATAGCACAGTGCTTGCAGTGCTAAGAAAGCCAATGTCTACATACATGTTTATTTTTCTTTCACTTGAATTGCCACTCTTTCAGATGACAATGAGTTACTGGTCTTTTAAAAATAGGTTTTACCAATATTCACATGTGGGACACTGTATACACATATGAAGAAAAATCAAAATATGGGAATGCACTATCCTCTTCCCTTGGAGATTATTTTTCAAGGGCCCCAGGAGGGAGTAATCCAGTCAGTACTAAGGAAATGTACAGTCAAGAGAACAGAAATTAGGCAAAGCAAGTTGGTAAAAAGCAATAGTGAACAATCACCTAGGTGTAAACTTTTAAAGCAACTCAAGTGTCCTCCTGCTCTTACTGAGCTCGACAGGAGGTCAGTCTCACTGACCTTTAAACCTTTCAGATTCTGACACTTAGGCCAACAGGTCACTTGATGCCAACTCTGGATTCTGACACCTTACTACATTAAACAGTAACTTACTGTAAAATATGCTCAGCATGGAGGTGGCTCTCATGGCAAGGCTGTTTTGTGCGCTGTGGCATTAGAATCGAGCTAGAAGCAAAAGCCTAGTCCAGTCCAAACTCAGCTGAAAGCCTCCCACTGCTACCAGTTCCACAATCTGAGTAAGAGCACAAGGTTAGGCACTGCAAAGCAGCAAACACCAGAGTATTTTAGAAAGAAGATTTTAATTATTTGGAAGAAACAGGTTTTCTGAAATACAGACTCAGAACATAAAGACTAAGTAATTTATTAGTCATAGCTCTTGTTATGGACAGATGGTTCCTACAGCAAAAATATAGAAAAATAATTTGAATTCAAGTCTAGAAGACCTGCAACTTTTCATATGCAAAAAATAAATCCAACTAGTCATAGAAAAGTGGCTGATAAGGATGGAGAACAGGGCTGTGCATCTGAGTAGCCATTACTATATACATTCCAAACTTAAATGAGCATATTTCCTCAGCCTCATAAAAATAGTTTGTCCATGAAAAATAACAATATGTAATACATTTAATACAATTTATACTTGAATTTAAAGATCCCAGATTATGGAATAATAAGCTAAAATCAAATGAACTGCTTTTTCAACTCTTCTTGTATAGAACAATACTCTCTGTGAATATAGTGTGCATGCATGTACGTGTATACACGCACAGAAACAAAGAGGTGTATAGAGATTTCCTGAAAAATTCTACAAGATTATTTGATTTCATTGCAGACCATAGCATACAGACTTCCAGGGATCCTTCTAACACAGGCTGTTCTATGAAATAATAATGTTGACTGATATAACCACATATCTACAATAGGTTTTTGCTATTATGAATTTAATTACCAATTTATCTTTCCAATCTAGATTTCGTTTTTCTAAGAAGTAAATGCTGCTTTGGTTAAGATTCCATACAGTCATGACAAAATAAATGTGAACATATTGGGGAAAGCCTTGAAAGTATGATTTAATTTTGATAATTAGTAAGTAATAAAGATACCAACAAGTTTTAAGCAGCAAAAGATTTAAAAGACTATGTTCTGACTTATTTTCTTCACCAACAAGCTTTTTGAGCAACAAACTAAAATGAAGAGATTGAATTTCTCTGGCAGCCATCACTGCGACATTTTAAGCCACCAAAGTCACAGCTGGCACTGAAAGAACAGTGGCATCAGTAGAGACCTCCATCCTTGCAGGACATAAATTGCATTGTGACACCCTGCCAACACTGCCTTGGAAAGGCCTGTGCTCTGCGGTGTCCGGTGTGTGATGCTTCCGTCGGGACTTCTCTGAATGTGTCGGATTCTCTGTGGTCCTTGCAGTTGTAGACTGCTCTTGATTTTTCACAGCTCCTTTATTTTTAGATCGAAAGCTGTTATGCTGCTGTCTTCTGTGTTCAGACTTGGAACCACTCTTGGTAGTTTGATCTGCCTCATTACTGGCACCTTGTGACTTATGAGATCCATTGAGCCGCATGTTTTGGTGCTGTGGGTTGAATCTCCGTCTCTGGCTAGAAGGCCCATTCTACCCAGAAAGAAATCAGGTAACTGTTAGGAATCCTTCCAACAGGCCAAGAAACACAGCAGTCAAAATTAACAGTGTTACTCTTAGGAGGGAACAGGAGAGGGAAAGCACGAAGAAGTTTTGATTGTTACCAGAGTCTCTTTATAATACCTATAACCAGAACTACGAGTACCATACTACATCTGAGTAGCCTGGAGATACAGATGGCAGGTTCATCACTGATGCCAAATTAAAATCTGCCATGATTCAAGAGAATACAGAAAAGGGGATGAAATTCTAGACATCTCAACAGCAGTTGTTGAGAGAAGGGACCTGCAGGTTCTGGTGAAGAGAAGTTAAATATGAGCCAGCAGTGCCCTGGCAGCCAGGAGGGCCACGTGTGTCCTGCAGGCACAGCATCTCCAGCTGGGCAAGGGAGGACATTGTCCTGCTCTGCTCTGAGGCAGCCTCACCTCGAGTGCTGGGGGCAGTTTTGGGTGCCATGATATAGGAAAGACATGAAACTATTAGAAAGTGTCCAAAGGAGAGCCATGAAGATAGTGAAGGACCTTGAGGAGAAGCCGTGTGAGGAGTGGCTGAGGTCACTTGTTCTGTTCAGCCTGGAGGAGACCTCACTGCAGTCACAACTTCCTTGTGAGGGGAAGAAGAGGGGCAGGCACTGATCTCTTCCTTCTGGTGACCAGTGACAGGAACAGAGGGAATAGCCTGAAGTTGGGTCAGGGGAAGTTTAGGTTGTGTATCAGAGAAAAGTTCTTTACCCAGAGGGTGGCTGGGCACTGCTCTGAGGCACATGGTGGGATTCTTGGGGTGCCTTATGCAAGGCCAGGAGTGGGACTTAGGATACTCTGTGATTCTCTGAGCAGTCAAGAAGTATTGAAGAACTTAATACTGACTTATTCCAAAATCATGACTATTGCTTTCCTAGTAAAGTGTTGTACTACAGTATGACTGTAGGAAGAACAGACAGTCACATGTAAATTGAAGTCAAGTGAAGAATCCTCGTTGTGGAAGACAAGTCAATTGTGACATTTTGCTCAGAGGATACTTTGATTTTTAGTGGGAAGTGGCTGAATTACTTCTATTTGCATGCCTGACAGGACAGGTGATTCCATACATGCACTGATATTATGCACTGTGTTACATTTCCCTCCAGCCATCTACTTGAGCCTAAAATCCCTACTGGAAAAAAATTCAGACCAACTTTAGTGGCAGCTTTACTTAAGAACAATAGTACAGGGACATTCTAAGGTGCTATTACAACAAAATGTAATTCATATATGTATCGTATATATAAAATGCTAATAATATAGCACAATACTATAACCTGTACTACAGAGTTTCTGAAATAATTTGCTTTTAAACCTGGCAGGATTCTACTTTCAAAGGGTATCTAATAATTGTGCTTCGACAGCACATCAGCTGACCATTTGTCAAGGACTAAATGTTTGACCTCCACAGCAGTTAGCTATAATGGAGGAGTTTTTTCTTTCACTTTATTACTGCCACTAGACACTTCTAAACAGACAGCTGTCCTTACTCATATGGTAGTTCTACTTTGTATTTTCATACTGATTGAAAATTAAGCTGGAAAATATATGCTTACTATCCTCAAAAATTATTAATTAAATATAAACCACAAACCAGTATTTGATTTTGTATTAACAACTTTCAGTGCTGTATTTTTCTGGAAGTTTTGAAGTAATTTAGTTCAGTTCATGACTGATTTGACATCTTACCTGCTTATTTGTTGGGACTCCTTGAGAAGAAGATTCTGTAGGATTGGAAGAAGGATGACTTTGTACTTTACTGCTGGCTGTTTTATTATCAGAGTTCTTGGCATTACTAGAGGACTTTCGGCTGTGCGTATTTTGCTTGCCAGCTGTTGCATGCGAGGTCATTGAAGAGAGCAGTAAACTACATGGTGTTCTTGAGGAATAGTTGTTCTTTGGATGAGAAACTGTAAAAAAGGTATTATGTGTTATAAGTTAAATTATCAACATCTAAACTGTATTCTTGCTTACAGTGAATTTTGGAAGCATTGTTTCAGTCTCACTTAAAATAATGAAGTAAACTAACTTAATCTAACTATTGAAGTAACTTGGTTGAAGTCAGTCCATAGTGTTCTACACCTGTAAGTCTGCCTCACTGCAAAGCACTTCTGGAGATAGAAGAGCCAGTGTTAAAACTGGGGAGCCTGGCAGAAGGACAGGCTTTTGGCATCCAAAAGAACTTTACTTATTCCTCTCTAAAGGAAATGGGTAAAAAAAGGTTCTTCTGTATCATGGGTAGCTATAAAAACTGGAACTGAATGCAATGCATTAATCCACTTTATGCAGAAGACAGCAGTCTGTACAATCAGGAACTGCTACTGCCCATCTCTGTATATTCCTACTCTCTACTTCTCAGTGTTTTGAGATCACCTAATTTACTAAGCACTGTCATGTTTGGATAGGAAATGCACCCAAAATATCCTTGATTCTGCTCTGCATTTCTCCAAGCTGCCTTTGCGAAATGGCCCCCAAGCAGCCTTGAAGAGAATTCTGAGGCTAATGAAGTTCTTGATCTTAATTTGCTGCCCTGATTTTTCTGATTATGCAATTTTTCTGTTTCCTTCTGGTACAGATGACAAATTTGAGACTCCAGAGAGACACCTGTTGTTTTTATCAAAGAGGTATTTCTATTTTTTCCTGTCCACTTCTACTACAGAGAAAGAAGATGAGGAATAGTTTTAGTAACTAAGCATCATCTATTAGGTTTTCTGAGGATCTTAGTCACTTACACCAACAGCTACTTCTCCCACTAGGTGTCCTCTTCAGAAAAACAATACAATGATCTGCACATTGAACTGAATTTTCTCTCCTGAGTTCAGTGAGGCCAACCATCCCTGAATTCTATTAATTCTCTCTCATCTAAAACAGACTGCTGCACATGGAAGCCCATATAAAAACCCAGATGCTTGTCATAAAAATGTATTTTTAACAAAAAAGATGTACAAGAAAAGGATACTGGGTGTTCTGATATATATCAATCCAATTATTTTTGTTTCTTCCTGTCCTTCATTTTGTGCATATGCTGTCTGTAAACTCCTCATGCTAGAACATTCCTTCCTTTGCACAAGTTCTGTGGATTTGGTTATTGCTTTTGTTAAAGCCCTTAAGAGTGGCTGTTCTTAGCTATTGGCCTTGTATAATCTCTTGTTTGAGGGGTATTTGCAGCTTCTAGCAGGGTATGGGTCTTACTGAGAGATGATGCTAAGAGAAACATCTTTTGCACTGAAAAGCTCTTGTCAAAGACAGCAATCATCACAAGATGCTAAGGTCACTGAGGGCAGGTATGAGCAAAGTTCTTCAGACACTCAGTGCACTATCAGTCATTTCTAGGATGACACTGCTCCCCTGCTAATAGCTGCTCTTCTAACTTCACTGACCTGATTTAAACAGGCTTTCATGAAACTATGCTTATGTAATGCTTTACTGAAATGAGGTATAAATAATTAACTTGAAGAATTAACTGCAGCTGGAAGTTATTTAGGAAAGTAGTTCAGTGAGTTTTAAAAAATAGTCTCTGGTTGTATCAATAGCAGCTGTGGTATTATTAGTCAAGACAATCTTTATGGAGTTTTCAATCTCTTCTGCTTCAGGGTATTAGATATGGTCTATGAGGTGACTGTAAAAAATTAGATGCATTACTAGGAAGTTTATGTCTTCCTCTGAAACATCCTGGGTTGGTTTCATTGAGAGACAGGATATGGGGTTAGATGGAACTTCAAAGTGTTCTGCAAAAGCAATTCTTATGGTCTAATGAGTTAAACTGGTTATGCCTCCAAGCAGTCAGTAGCTTGTATTGGCATACTGTGTAGTACTTTCCTCTGCTTCCTACTTTTAGGAACTACTTGAAAACGTTTATTATTTTCCTTCTACCAAGATGCACTTGTTCAGTATTGTTTTACCAGTTTTACCCTGAATGGAATACCACAGGACACAGTAACATACTGGGCAAAGCCTTATATAATTTACATTGTTTTGGGGGGAAAAAGCATGACAGAGATAAGAAATAGGCTCCTATTTTGCAACAGGGACATGATACTTGAAGCAAAAAATGTGAACCTGAATTTCCAAGCAGAAGGGCAGATTATTTAGAAACAGAAGCTTGGAGAAAAAGAGACTTGATGCTCTCTACAAGTACCTAAAAGAAGGTTATAGCAAGGTGGGATCAGTCTTTTCCAACTTTAGTGATTCTATAATTTGGGACTCTAGATGGCTCCTGAAAAATGCAGTGAATATTGTTAAAAAGCTGGGGAGTTACTTCTTAGCAGGAGAGATCTGATTTGGTCTCATTACATTAAGCACAGCGGCTTCCAATTTACCATTTATTTATAAATTACTGAATTTGTGTATTCCCTGGAGTTGGGAACCTGTTCAGATTGAAAACTCCAACTTATCTGAGTAATACCTCGAAATCTCTGACAAAGATGGTACTGTGTACCTGCAGATGGAGTGTTCAGCCCAGGCACAATGAGTCTAACATGTTGCAAAATGTTGACTTGTGTGTGTTCAGCAGTCCTGCTGCATCCAGAGACACCACTCATATTGGCTTTGCTTCACACTCACACACTGGCACCACATGTGCTGTCAGCTCTGCTGAACAGATATGTTCTGAGAAACTCAGTGAGAGGGATCATCAGCACTTACTTTCTCCACAGAGCTGAATCTGGGTCTTCAGCTGCTCTGTATCACAGGAAAATCGGGCAGATCTGCCCAGCTCTTCATCGTATTTCCGTTCACTCACAAAGTGCTGCAACAATAGACATGTTAACAGTGATTCACAGTCTGAGCAAAAGATTTCAAGATTCTTGACCCTGCCCTGTTCACAAGATCTCTGTGCAGAAGCAAGTATTTTCCCATCCTCATTAAATTACATCTCACAGCCCAGTGATGGGTGGATCACTGTCACGCTTGGGAAGTGGGTCATTTCAGTGGAGAATGTATGTTTGATCACTGAACCTGAAGCTATCAGGTTTACTTGCTGAGTATAAATGATACACAAACAGCAAAACTCCCCAGCACTACACTTAGGAGGGGATAGCTTGAACTTCTCTGATAGCATCTGTACACTGCTCAGAGGTGCTACAAGGCTTTAAGAAGTTACACTTTCCCTATGGAAAACTATTTACCCCTTGACCCATAGCAGGAATAAACAGCCTGGGCATATTAATGTGACAACTATTCCTTGGCATTTCTACAAATAGCTAAAATACCCAAGCAGAAGTGAATGCCTGACCTTAATTTCAGCCCTGAGTTCAGAGAGTTGTGCTTCAGCCATCTGACTGGCTAGGTCTGCCAGTCTCTTCAGCTCCTCTGCTTTCTTCTGCCGAGCAGTCAGGATTTCCACTGCCAAATACCAATAGTTAGTCATTAATTCTAGGAAGGTAAATTGCTCTGTAATTTATTAGTCTTTGGGAATTAACATAGTACATCCCATGTGAGACAAACACATGGACCACTGACTTTAACTAGATTTGCAATATGATACTTTCACAGATTAAGTTGATCAGTGTAATTCAATGAACTGCCTGATTTTGAGAAAGATCTGAAAAGGGGATAGCTGTCAGAAAATCAAAGTCAAACCAATCCTCCAACATTCAGATGAACAGGGGCAAAGCCATGTTGTTTTGAGTTTTTTAGTGTTTTATTTTGAAGTACAAAAATAGGGAGCCTTCCAGAGACATAGAAAGAAGCATTACATTGAGTCACTAGCCTGTTTCTGAAGACATGCTATATTTGATTTACACAGGGAAATTTCACTTCCTCTGAAAAAAAACCTGTTCATATACAGTTTATGTTAAAGTCACTGGCATCGCAATTTTGCTTTTCATATGGAATATACTTATTAGCCATTTCAAAAGCAAAGCAGCATTGAAGGCTAACAGGCTTTATGAAAAAACCCTAAATATTTATTACTGCCTGTCTTGTACATTCTATGTAAGGAAGGGGTGAGTAGTTATATTCTTATAGGGAAAGATTAATCATAAACCACGAAGCAATGATCTACTTGTACACAAGATAATATGACATTATAATTTTGGTGGAAATATATGCAAACTATTACCAAAATGGTGACTCAGAGTAAAAGCAACAACTGATTAACTGGCTGATGGGATCACAGCAGAGAGGAAACAACATCTAAATGTAAAACAGTAACAATCATAGTCTTTTGTCTTGAACTTACACATACAGTTAGGGGGAGTCGTAGTTAATGTAAATTATCCTAAGGTCACAGAATCCATTACAGCAGTAGAGATTTTGGCTCCTTTACCTTCTTTTTGCCACGATTTTCCACAGCACGCTTGACAAGTCATGTAACCAGCCTATACTTTTTAAGGCTATTTTTGAAGGTGAGAATTAATGATATTTCACAGACAATTTGTTTCTCAACCCATTATAATTTGTTTATCAGATAACACCTTTTTTGAAAGCATTGTAGAGTCAATAAATAGTTTGGGCCAGAAGAGACCTTTAAAAGTCTTTAGTGCAACCCCCTGCAATCAGCAGATGGGGTTGCTCAGAGCCCGACCTTGAATGCTTCCAGGGATGAAGATCTCCCCTCCTCTGGGAAACCTGTTCCAGTGAGTACAACATGGTCCAGCAGGCACAGGGAGATACAGCTGCACCTGTACAGCTGTGTGGGAGCAAACAAACTGTGTAACTGTAGAGGAGTGTGTCACATACGGCAGGGAAGGCAGAGGGTGGCTACAGTTCCTTCAGCCCTGCTGGTAAATCTGTGCCTACATTATTACTTATGCTAAGAACAGCTGCTGTCTTCCCAGCTGATCTTTTAGATTTCATTTTTTGTAGAATATGGTCCACAAGAGTGAGAAAATTTTATCACGTTAAATGAACAGTTTACCAGGTGCAAACCTTGTCCAATAGTTCTGCTTTACTGCTTATTCTAGGTAATGCTAATATTGTTCCTCCCCAAGATCAATATCCTCTTTGCTAAAGTGACTACCCAGACCATATGATCTATCTCATACTGGCATTTATTTCCATGAGATGCCAGCCAACTACCCATGTTTTAAAAAAACCTGAAATTATCATATTTGGAATTTCTCCTAGTGTTGACAGTAAGAATAAAACAGTCCTTAAGTAAAATAGTCCTTAACTGCAGCAAAGAGATATGAAAATAAATAATATTCTAAATCTTGGTTAGCATGTTACAGTCCTGTAACAACTTTCTGCCTAAGTTTCTGAAGGCACTTTACAGCCTACAGCAGCCTTGAGAGACAGCAGAAACCACACTGCTGGAGACAGGTACTGGGCCATCCACCACCATGCGTGGAGCTGGCCGGGAAAGGGAAACACAACACACCATGTGCAAATGCAGCTCTTTGCATGCTGCTAGGTAGGAATTAGGTTTACTTTCTACAAAAATTCCTATAACTGGCCAAGATTAATGAAGGGGCCCTATAATACCATCAGCCCTGGACAGCGGATTTCCAAAATGTGGATTTATTTGTGCAGGTAGGGCTTAAAACTGCATCTGCTGATCAGTGAGAATTCTACCATTGGTTTTCCTGGGAATGAGTGCATGTTCTGTAGCTGATTATGGTTACCTGGTATCTAGTAACCAAAGGTAACCAAAAACTGCTGATATATATCCTTCCACAAGTCTTTCCCAGAATAACACAAAGCTTCAAATTCACATCTATTTCATGTTCTTCCCAGAAAATTAGCAAATAAAATTCAAAACACAAACTCTGCAAATCTTTGCTGTCATAACTTCGTACCTTCTAGTTTATACACATCTACAACTGCAAGAGACTTGGACAGCAATAGAGAATTTAGAGCATTTTTTTCAACAAAAATTCAATTGTTATACTTTTGTAAACTAATTGAGTTCTAAATGCAGATGAAGCATTCAAGAATGTTAAATGTATTTTTGACCCTTGGAAGCACCTTAAATTCACAAATCAGTAAAAGGATTGTATGCATTCATATCAAGGACATTTTCATCTGCAAGGAAAAGTGTAATTCTAACAGTGCTTTGGTTAGAATGTGGTCTTCAATTTCTTTCTTAGCATTCTCTACTGAAACATGTCCCCCTGTATTTCCTGGGGGTAAATACAAACACTGAGTCTTGGGTGTGTAAGATATATTGTGGTACCCTAATACAAGGCTCATCTTGCTTCCCCCCCTCCCCCACCAGAATATACATACATGAAAATGTAAAAACCAGAGACAACATGAAAACCTGGAATCAGATTGACTCTCACAGATTATTAAGAAAACAGACTGCAGTGAAGATTTGTTTTTTAAATTTTTTTTTAAATTTTCTAATTCATAAACTTGATCACTGTCCCTGAAAGCTATGCAAGGCAACACAATAACCTACTCCCCTACTCCCTAATTCCAGTATTCCAACATACACTGGTAATACAAGCAAGCAAAAAGTGATTGATAAATGGAAACAAAGTAATTAAATAACCATAGAAACTAGGGAAAAAAAAAAAAGAGTGGTCAAAAAGCTCTGATAGGTAAGCTGAAGGAGTAACTTAAATCTAACTCCATATCATCTTTTGGTTTACCTTAATTTCATAATACTGAAATTTTGATGCACCATCCTCATAGAAACTACCCTGGCACATCAAAGACTTCTCTGCCTACACATATAGAGTGAAAGATGATGGAATGCTGCTAACCAAATTTATGGATTGTGTTATCTTCTGCCAAACAAAGCAACTGTTTCAACAGTATTCCAAAATTTCCCTGTGTATTTTTTTTACTTACTGGCTTCTTCTTTAACTTTATCAATTTCTGCCATTAATGACACTTCTTTGTCTACGATGCTAAAACAGAAAAAAAAGAAAAAAATATTTAATTCATGCTAGAACTCCATCAAAATCAAAGGCTATAACTACACACAGACTTCAGACATTAAAAATGGGCAGTTTTGAAATGAACAAGACTTAAAAAATTGAAGCTGAAGAAATATCTAGGCAAGCCAGCTATAAAAAATTAGTGATAATGAGTGTGTGCTGCTTTACACAAACATCTCACTGGCCTTCCCACATAACTGCACAGATGTGGAAATCAGTCTCATTCAGCACAGCAATCCTCAAATGACTAAACAGTCTGTTTCCTAATTAAGCCAAATACACCATTGCTGCTACCCAAAGTAATGCAGCTTAGGTCTTGGCACAAAACTAAGAATGAAACAAAATTAAAGACGTGTGGAATGAGTTCTTTTCCTTCCTTAGTGATATTTTTGTAAAATATGTCATGGTAAACAAGAAAATCGTTTGTGATGTAAAAAAGCATTAAAGTATCTCCATAACTTAAGTCAGCTTCCTTGTCCTCTATTCCCTCCAGGACTTGGAAAGAGTTTTTCCACTTTACCTGGTCTACCTAAAGGAATTGTGTGCTTCTCCTTTTACAAATGCCTGGTGTGCAACCCCTGGCAGTGCTTATAAGCTGTCAGAATACAACTGATTAGGTGGGTCTGCTGAGAGCAGACAGGACATGAGCTAAGTTGGTCCCATTATGAACACAGTGACACTGTCCAGTGGAGTAACATCTCTGCAGAATGCTCTCCAGAGGACAGTGATCTGGTGTGCCATTCTGTTTTCCCCTCACTAGAGTATTCTTAAAGTTAAGTTCACATTTAATTAACCACCAAAGTTAGTGTTTGTGTTTGCATAAGTGAGTAAATTCAAGCAGCCGGGGGAGGGAAATTGAAAAAAGTAGGTCAAACACCAGGAGTACATCTAGGCATGCACTCAAGGGAAGAGTGGAGCTCTTAATCCTGTTAGTAAAATCAACCTTAAACATTAGCTTTTGGACCCAGTGAAAATACTGAGTTACATATGAACAGGCTTCTACTGAAGGAAGACATTATAGAAAACTTAAACCAAAATATTTGTCTAGAACATCCTTAGCAAGAAAGGGAAGACTCTGCAGACTTCAGTGGGCAGTAAAGAGAGACAGAAACTTAGAGAAATACTGACAGGTCCTTAATTAAAACAGGGAAAGATTGGTGAACAGGCAGTGTGGGGAACACATGACAAACACACAGCTGACAATCAAACATTCACCAGCTACAACACATTCATGTGCCATTCATCCTTTCTTGAAATCTTCCAACCAACCTCACACAGGAGGTTTGCAACAGAAGCTCTGCAGTCTTCTGTCCTTGAGTTTTCCCAGTCTACCATGCACCCTGGAGAGGAGGAGACCTTTACACTGCCTCCCAGTAGCCAACAAGAGGGACAGAAGCAGGTTGGCTGATGGCAAAGGTTGCAGCCAGACAACACAAATGCAGTGTAACATATTTTTTTTGTTTCATACACAGAAACAAGACTACAATTATTGTTTTAGCCTGTCACATCAATTTAGTGTGACCTACACACCAGAGGAAATAAAACAGCAGGGTTTTTTTAGGGTAGAGCAAATGAGTTAAGAGGTAGTGACAATGGAAGGACACAACTGTTGGCATTCAATACCCTCCAGGCATAAGCATTAAGCTTGAATGCCAAATAAGCAGGTGATTACTCCAGCTTGCTAATCTAAATAGTCATAGCTTCTCAGAATTAATCTATTTTCAATTAGCTTTTGTAACTACATGGTTTAATAAACTTCCTTGACTTTCACAACAGGTGGCTGAAACGAGGTCTTTAAGTACTTACCTATTTCTAGCCTCCACAATGAGAATCCAGTTATCATTACTACTTTCTCTTAAATTAAAAGAAACCCTGCAGATTTTTACTTTTTCTGTCTCTGTTATCAAAGTGCCTCCCTAGTGCACTAAACAGGTTACATAAACTTTTCTCTGGAAAACATCCAAGCAACAAGGTTACAACAGCAGAGCTCATCAGAAGAGTGTTTTAGTGCAGCTCTTTCCAGGATTGTTCTCTTTGCACTCCAACAACAGATCCTTCCTTAGTAAACTGGTGACCCTTAACATTTTATTTTGATACCAAATTAAACCACTTTTAATACTAGAATGAAAACAAGGCCATAACAGTCTCGTATTTATCACATTTTATAGTCAAATCTTATCTGTTACTAGACAGTTTTCCACTCCTTATGTTTCATTTTGGTCTCTGGTGAACATTTCAGGAAAGTGTTTGCATGTTGTAGCAGTAGAGGACAGGACTGATGAATTTAAAGAACATCCACCTGAGTACTTATTTTCTAGCTATAAACTAACATTGGAAAAATTAAAGAATAATGCAAGAGAGAAACTATTTGGTGCCTTTGTCCATGTAAGAAACTAAGTTTCTTTAACAGACAGACCTTGAAAAGGTTTTTCTTCCCTGAAGACAATGCAGCTGTAGTAATTTATATCAGCAGAGGACAGGCCCTCTCTCTCTTGGCTAAAGGAAAGGAACATTAACTTTCATCTGGAAGCATAAACTATATTTCTCAGCTTGGAAACCATAAAAACTGCCATGTGTCATATATGGGGAAAGTTAATGTTTCTTTAGAAATGTCCTAGGCCAACCAGCACCAGCAAATGCAAAACAGAGCAATACTGCCTCCAACAAGAATTTATCAAAGTTATAAACAAATGAAAACAACAGACAGAAAGCTGGAAAAAAAAACTGGCCTGGGAAAAAAAAAAAAAAAGACAAATGACAAAGAGAAATCTTAATGCTAACATATAGAAGGAGAAAGGACAAGAACAGTGTGGAAAAATCAATGGATCAAATCTTGTCCCTCATTCTTGCTAGTATCCCACTGTTTTCACACAAAGATTTAACAGTCACTTAAATTGAACAGCTCCTTAACTTAGAAGTTCAACCATTTTTAATGCATTTTCTGGAAAAATGCCCTACTCAGTCTTAAGACAGTGACTGTGATTAGACCACAGCAGAAGTGTTATTGAGAACTGCTCAAAGCTCAATACAGCAATACCTCCCAGGAAAGTATTTTCTTTTAATGTTTCATACTGTCCTTTGAAACTAAAATATTGTATCAGGTTGGTACACTCCAGTGCACAGCCTGCAGCCATTGGTGTGCTGTGAGAACTGGATACTGAGTGCTACAGGAACTTTCTGCACAATCAGGTATGATCAGATTTGAGCTCTAGCAGAGCAAGGAACAAAATACATTTCAGATCTAAAGACACCTGAGGGAAAACATTCTGCTAATTCCTTTCTCTCCAGTTATGTTGCTTCTCTTTTGTTTTCTATAGCTGTTTGGAACCAGGTTTAAAATCAGGAATATACTACTTTAGCTGATGTTCCAAAGAGTTCATAATCCTGTCAATTTTTTCTGATTACTCTGAGCACTAAAAATCTGAAAGGCATGGCTGAAGCTATGCCTTTTCCTTACCTTGAATATCAGTATCAACACCTGAACATATTTCCACATACTATATGAGACTCTGGTGACAAACACATAACTCAGAACCACTTCTTTCTTTGAATGTACCTGAATCCATGCCCTAATCATCAGTCCACAGGTTCCCCTGCTGTAGTAGACCAAACACTGCAACTCAATTCCCCCCTTCACCAACCAGACTCAACAAGACAGATCTGAATCAAGTGAGCCATATCTTTCTGACTCTATGACTGATGATGTAGAAAAAAACTAAGTAACATTGCTATATCTTTCTTTTCTGCCTCCCTTCTCCACACCTGTCTCCTAAAAGGACTGATTTTTCCTTTTCTTACCCCTCACATTTTCAGTACTAGGACCTGGGTACCAAACTTGAGCTATCAGCCCCATACCACTGTTCATCATAGGTGAGTATCTGCAGTTTGGAGCACAGGATTTAGCACTGTTAGAGCTTAACATCCCAGGTGAAATTTTGAAGTGGGGCTCAGAAAAGAGACAATTTTGTTGAGGGGACAAGGCAGAGGCTTAACACAGAGGGCACGCAGATGAGACACAGCCAGTGTTCGTGCCGTAGAGATACGAGATGCAGCAGGAGAGACAGCAGCTTTCTAGGAATCATTTTGCCAAATTGATTTTGAAGGCAAAACCAGAAGTGCCCTATTCCTGGTCAAATGAACAGCACTCATATCTTAGCCTTACAGAGGCTGGCAGGATTCACACTAGAGTACAATGACAAAAGAGCTGCAAATGCGAAACTACAGTGAGCTGCTAGCACAGCAATGATGGGGCAAATTATGCTGACAGCTGCCTCATTTCACAGTTTCATACTCAGAACAAATTCTGAATTTGTTCTGACATTAGTGGAAACAAAATAATCTTCCTCTAGTTTACAGCATGAAATCTAGTATTTGCACAGTGCTAAAGAAAATATATTTTCAGTCAGCTGCAATACCTCCAAATGCCACTAAAATGATTAAAGTTATTAATGCCTCTTGAGAAAAGCTGCTTCAGATTGCCAGGCTGGCTGATTTATAGCTTTACTGATGAGAATCATAAGGTTTCCAGATGACCAGAATCTTCTCTTTCCTTCTGCCTCTTCTAGGCATTATGACAAACCTATTGTGCCTGAAGAGATGGGGAAATAAAAAAGGTCAAGCTGACATGGAGGCAAACATGCTGACACAGCTCACAAAGGTAAGTCCCAGCTGCATGGCACAGAGGTTACTGTTAAGTGTAATTCGAATGAGACCTTTAATAACCCTGTTCAACTCCTCAAAATGCCAATTTTCTCCTTGAGGTGTTTAATAAGCTTTATTCTCCCCCGAACCAGCTTTGTTCACAGTTTGAGAATGACTGTTCTTCTGGAGACTGAGGAAAACAGCGTCAGCTCTGGCAGGGCTCTTCTTCCAGAAGGTCAAAGAGCTATTTTTTCCAGGGCATCCTCGGGGGGCTGGTTCACCTGGAGAGCTGCTGAACACTGAGGTACAATTTGAACCCTTTTTTCATG